CACTTTCAAGGCAGTTCACGTTTTACTGCAGTAGCCGACAAGCGCCCTTGCTGTTTTTGAACAGAAGCCGATAAGTCTAAAAGTGATCGAGGATGGATAATTTCGATGAACTTGATGAATCTGTGATATCTTCTTCAGGGCGAAAAAGGAAAATAAAAGCTGAAACGTTTTCACGGAACCTTGCAAAAGCAGCGCGTTACAATGGTGAGGGAAAAGCTCCGTGTATTGCGTGTAATCACATCCATACAGTTTATGATCACAACAACAACAACGTTTGTCAGGCATCTACATTGTCATCTGATGAGATTGCAAAGATTAAACGAGTGTTTTTTTTTTTACTCTAAAACATGAAATGTGGAGTTATCTGCTTTTGTCAAAAAACGACTGTTGGAGTTATCTGATTTTGCTATAAAACAAACTTTTAATATGTAAAAAAACTTACTTTCAATGAACTTTAATTTTGTAAATTACCTGTATTTGTTTAAGTTATTATTACTTAATCAAAACAACCCAACTGCAGTTTGATTGATATTACTTGGAATGCGCAATAAAAAAAAATGCGATTTCTGAAAAAATTTTTTAATGGAGTTATCGGTTTTTGCTAATGAACTCTTCACATACACACACACACACACACACACATATATATATATATATATACACATATATACACACACACACACACACACACAATTTCATATATTTAACTGAATAACACACTCACACAACTGCCAAAATATAATTAATTGTATATGTATTAATTCAAGTAGTTTGGATAAATACATGTAAATATGTATAAATATTAGCATTGCAAATAGTGAAAAACTATATGCAAGTCCTAAGAGAAATTTACCTGCTTGTCTATCCTAATAAGCAGCCTCTGTTTAGTCAATACCTGCCATCGGGTTCTTGACTACTACAGTACGTCAAATTATTGTAATTAACATCATTCATTGACTGCCATAGTGAGTAGAGCGTTTAAAAAGCATGCCATCGTTGACGCTGGAAGACAATATATGCCACGCTGGAATCACTATCATTTCCCCCTCGGCTGGGGTAGATAAATATTTCGCTGGCAGTTTTAATGAGGTGTAAGATCTCACATTAGTGGTTCAGTGCACTCTGGCCCAGAGCGACGGAAGTACACGGCGATCAGAGTTTGACAGAGCGGCGGTCCTGATACAGACTCTAGATTAACATCATTTCACCCAAGAGAAAAGACAAAACACCATATCCTGGAATTTCACAGACCTATAAATAAGATACATAGAGATAATATCTGCACTTACAGCTTTAACATTATGATTTATTGTCACGCTTCATATTGCTGTTGTATTTATTGTATTACCACAACATTCACTGTTTGCTCACATCTGAAAGACTCTGAACTTCTGAAGAAAATGTGACTGGTTCTCATATATGATGCTAGGATATTGAGGATGGTTGCCAGGATACTGCTCACTAGCCCAAAAAAGCTTATCAAGTTTCTATCATATTCTAGATTGCTAAAAAACCCTATATATGGTTTGGGACCCTTCGCAGATGCAAGTCTATGGGACCTTTTTTTGCCAATTTTTTCATCTTCCAGGCAGAAATTATGAGTTAAATCACTTAGAAAAGTAATAACACAGATTTCATCAATAAGCCACACGATTTGAGGTATCATTCATGTCCCAGGGAACATAACTGGTTAAAAAAACACACACATTGATTTGGACAGGTTTTTGCATAAAAGTATCTTCTAAATGCATAAATGTAAAGGTGCAGGGCGAGGTACAAGTATGAGTAATAGTAATGCTTGCCTTAGCAAACAGCACTAATAATATAACAAATCAAAATATTCATGCTGTGAAATTCTTTGAATGCTGAGGGAAATTATTTAATGAAGTGTATAAAATTTTAATTCAGATAATCTTTCAAATATATGTGGAAATTGGCCTAAA